AAATAATTGAAAGTGAGGGGGAAATCACATTATGAAATAATTGTTTTTCTCCAGGGATGCCATTAATTCTGACCACAACTGTACAGGGTGTTAAAAATGAACACTGAAGCAGTGTTGAAGTTAATGAGATAATTAAGTGATTAATTAAGTGATGATTGGCCATCAGTGGTGACACCCGATGTTAATAAGCAGAATCATTGAAGGAAAGAGAAACAACAAGAACGAAAAAAAAGAGAAACACAAGAACTACTGACTTCGAGCCTTTACACATTATTGCACTTATTATTACCAATGTGACTTTATTTCTGTCATACATCTACAAAAGTTATTGAGATTCAACAGAAGTTTAGACGGCAATGTTTTATGGAATTTTTCATTTCAAGCCACCATTATGGTGGTCAGTGATTGCTGTAGTTGGGCTCCTTTTCATTTTTTATAGTTATGTTTTCTCTGGCTGCTCCAACATTGTGTTTATAAAGCACATTTGTTAGTGCACGAGAAAACCTGTTAACAATATGTTGTAAAGATGACATTATCGTCATCTTTATTGTATCGGATAAACATGTGAAGAACATGTGAAGAACTTAAGCCAAAACGTGGCTATCTTCAATTTTATTTAACGAATCGTAGTAGCCTACTCGTTTGATTTATTTTTTAATAAAACTAATTTAGCTCATCGATACAACATATGAATAGTCCATTTAATATTTGTAAAGATAGTTTGTAACAAGATTTGAGCCGTTAATGTATGTTTTTTCGCCCTCTTCCCCCCGAAAATATTTTGATAGCTAACGTTAGCCTTTAACCTTGGACTTTTTGGAGATATTAGTATTTTATCAGCTGGCTCCAATGGTCGCTAAGAAGATGGGACGCAATGAAAACCCTGCGGTCATTGTGGTTTCTCCTTTGGTCGCACACTCGCACTCATGGAGGACCAAGTAAAAGAAGCAACACTCATTATTTTACTACTTCTTCCAGCGTGCATGCAGTTGAGTTCTGTTGAAATTATGCTATGCAACTATGTAGCTGACTTACTGCGTTGCTCTGATTGGTTGTAGGTCTATCCAATTGAATGCAGAGTTTTTTTTTTCCTGGTTCGGTTAAGACACGCCTCATAATCAAAGCCCTATGGAGCAGTATCAGACTCACATTCTGACTAGAAAATGAGTATGACGAAGTCAGGCTAACCTGTCCTGCCATTTCTTCATCATTTCTTTTTTGATTATCGCCTTAGCTTCTCCTTTTCCAAGGCGTATATTTATGACATTGTTTATCCTGGTTGATTTTTTTTTGTGCTATTTTGTCTGCTCCCTCATTCCCTTTAATACCTACGTGGGCAGGCCAGCAGAATCTCGCATCTATCCATAGTCTCTGTAATCTAAATAAACTTTGTTGTATTTCTAGCATTAAATCTTCTCTATTACATTTCATATTTTGAATACTATAAAGGGCTGCTAAGGAATCAACACAACACACCACTCTGTCTGGTTTTACTTCCTCAACCCACTGCTGTCAATAATCGCCATCATCTCTGCCATATACACTGAAGCCTGATCAGGTAATCTTTTCCCAATGCCTATATTCATTGTTGGTATATATATTCATATTCCTACCTTGTCCTCTTCATCTTTAGATCCATCTGTATACATGTCTAAGTAACTGTAATATTTGCTACTTATGTACTGACTTACCAAATTTCCTATCCCACTCTCTTCCCATTCGCTTTTTAGTTCCAATATATTTAAATCTATTTCAGGTTTTGGAATGTTAACGAGTCAAGAGTCCAGAACCCAACTAAAGCAAACACTGATCTCTACAATGGTAACTTTAAACCAGTGGTTCTCAACCATGTCCTGGCGTACCCCCAACACTACACGTTTTCCTTGTCTCCCTAATCAAACACACCTGATTCAACTCATCAGCTCATTATCACATGGGTTAATGAGCTGATGAGTTGAATCAGGTGTGTTTGATTAGGGAGACAAGGAAAACGTGTAGTGTTGGGGGTACGCCAGGACAGGGTTGAGAACCACTGCTTTAAACCAACAATTTTCAATTAACCTCCTAAGACCCGAGTTTTGGTCAGAGGTGGAAAGTCCAGGGGTCAGAAAGTAAAAGTCCTGCCACATTTTTATTCCACCCACAGCAAAAACTCCAGTGTTAAAGTTAATGAGATAATTAAGTGAGTAATTGAGTGATGATTGAGCCTTAATCAAGACACTTGATGATAACAAGCAGAATCACTGAAGGAGAACGTCACATTTTTTAAGTCACCATAATGGTGATCAGTGTCTGCTTTAGTTGGGCTCTTGACCCTTTATTCTTTAATTTTAGAAGTTGTTTGGCTGCTGTACATGAGTTATAACAGCCAGATGAACAACAAGGAAAGCTGATGTGCTGTTGTTGGTTATGTTTTGACATAATCATCAGTTGTAGAGTTTAACCTTTTGATTACACAGTATAACATTTTCAGAAATTTAAATATTATCCAAAAGATTTCTTAAAAGCTATTCTATTCTAATTACTTTAGGGGCACGCACAGACATCAAGAATCAGCCTGTGTACTCAACAATGGTGAAAATTATATAGCATGTTGCAGTGCATTCTGGGTGGCACCAATCAAAATTCATTCATGGCTCCCATCATGCATTGCGGTATGAATAAATTATGATCTGAATTGTCTGAGTAATTTCCTTTTCATAATTGAATATTCTGTTCGTCACCATTGTTGAGATTCATACACTGAATCTTGATGTCTGTGTGTGCCTAAAAGAAAGATTATTATTTATTTATCAAAACAACGTGTAAGATATCATTTGGTTTATTTGGAAAAATCTGGATATAATGTTATAGAATCACTGTGATGCTGTTATGATCATTATACATTTAAATCAGAGAGTAGGCTCTAAATTAGTTCGGTGATTCAGGTCAAATGATGATTATGTCTAAACATGATCTACAACATCTGATCTGATCTGATCTCTTTGTTCATCCAGCTGTTAAAACAGCCAAACAAAATCTTTAGTTAAACATTTAAAGGTCACCTGCCCAACTAAAGCAAACACCGATCACCATAACGGTGACTAAAATATAGATTTTCTCCTTCAGTGATTCTGCTAGTTAACATCTGGTGTCTTCAATAATATCTCAATCATCACTCAATTATTCACTTAATTATCTCATTAACTTTAACACTCTTGAGTCTGGATCCAAATAAACTCCCAGTAAAGTTCATTTAACACTGGAGTTTTTGCTGTGGGTGGAATAAAAATATGGCAGGACTTTTACTTTCTGACCCCTGGACTTTGTGATGTCCACGTATGTGGACAACCAGGTCTGAGGAGGCTACACATCTCAATAACAACTTCTGTAGATCTTTGACAGAAATAAAGTCATACTGGTCAATAATAAGTGTAATAATGTGTAATGGCTGGAAGTCAGTTGTAGTTATTGTGTTTCTCTTTTTTCTGTTCTTGTGTTCCTCTTTCCTTCAGTGATTCTGCTTGTTAACGACAGGTGTTCATCACTAATGCTCAACAATCACTAACTTATTCACTTAATTATCTCACTGCAACACAGCAATATCTCACTGAATAAATGTTACTTTTTACTCTTTGTAGTGTGAATTTTCCTGTAGGGTTAACAGTGTAAGATAAAAAGACACACCACTGATTGTATTTTAACAGTAATAAACTATAAGTTATAAAACAGGTATATAGTGGCAACACTGTTAGTAGTTTACTGTAAAATTTAGTTTTTTTGGCCACCATTGTGCTGAAGAGGAGAGCCTGTGCTTCAGTCCAGAAGAAAATTTACAAACATTTATGTTAAGCTGTGTGTTGCTTTATTTAATGGGCGGTGACTGTGTAGTTGCTGATCCAGCTGAATTCTCTTTATTTAAAATATTTCTTTAGTGGTCTCAAATGAAACTTCATGGCAATGCTTTGCTCACATTATTAGTGCATTGCAAATTTTAGTCAATACATTTAAAACAACAGTTGGTCAATTTAAAGCAGTCGGTTTCTGCAAGTGAAATTAGTTCACTCAAATGTTAATTTAGTGCATGGTATTTTAACAGTAACATACTGTAGATTACATTAAAGAACTATGCAATTATCAGTACTATACTGTACCAGGCCTTTTACTGTAAAAAGGCCTGGTACGGTCTAACAGTGTAGAATAGGAGCAATGTGGCAAGATTTATTTGTGTACGTGAGGACCTTAGCTGTGGAGTTCTGAATATATTGAATCTTATTTACTGATGAAATGGGTAAGCCATAGATAAGAGAATTAGAGTAGTCAAGCCGTGAAGTGATGAAAGCGTGAACTAGGGTCTTAGCATTGCTGATATTCAGAAACTAACCTAAGCACGTTATATTACGAAGGTGAAAGAAGGTAGACTTAGGGGGCTTTTACACTGGGCTCGTTTGCTGCGGTCCGAGCCCGAGCGCGTTTGTTCCCGGCGCCCCCCGCAGCGTTGGTCTGGTTTCACACACAACTTGATTATATCGAACCCTGGTGCGTTTGCGTGCATATGACGTCATCGCAAACGTGCACGGCGCATGATAGAAAACAGAACGTGGGTCAATATTGTGTTTTTTTTTTATTAATTCGCTGCTATTATGCACAGTTGAGTGAACACTACAGGTTTACTGTGCGTGTGTCACATAAGGTGGACTTCTGCTGCTTGCAAACGGACTCTTTTGAGGAGACAGTGGATTTCCAACTTGATATATGACAGTGCTGAGCTGATGACATGAATCATTAAACATTCTAATCACACCTGTGTGATCGTAGGCTCCAGGGACCAGCCAAGACTTATCTCAGGCTGTTTTATGTGCACTATAAACAAAGCCTTTGAATCGGTTTTAAAATTCCCTGTCATTTCCGCTGTCATACCATTACCCTTATTTTATACATAATTTTTAAATCTTTCTGATCTATCATTAAAAGGTAAAAACAGCTAAATAAAAGGTTTTGACAGAAATATGTTTTTATACCTTTCCATTATACAAATGTCTGGTGTCCAAAACATATTTTTAGGGGCTGCATATGATTTGATTCCACAATATTGGCCAGGAGTCCACGTCATATTGGAATTTGGCCAACCCTGGAAAATTAGATAAAGTTCAGAGTGATTATAAGACAGATTTTGCACAGTAAATTCCCCAGTGTTGAATTAACACCTTTCTATTTCGTTCTTCCTGACCGCCAGAGGCAGTGCTTCACACTGGATTCTATCTCTCGTTGCACATGCATAGGTTGAGTCTAATACAAACATTGTCCCTCGTGACAAGGATGACTTTGTTTGCTTCCCTATTTAACCCCGTGACTTCCTGCAGACTGCTCCCCTTATAACCTTCTCGCATGCACATATTGCAGGTTGTAGATTATGTGAAAAAAAAAGAAAAAAAAACTTTGGAATCCGTTCTTCACAGCTTCGCAAAAAAAAAACATTTGTTGGTGTTTCGTGACTGTGCGTCGTCCAGAGGCTGCAGCGGATTCAGTTGGAATTCCATTGAAATAAAAAATAAAGAAAGCAACAGCTGACAATCAGGAAACAATAACTCTGCTGGTGAGTTTGTTTACATGTATGCTGGGGGTTCGTTCTCGTTTTCCTGGTATTGTGTTGGTCGCTAGACAGAGTGTTTTCGCTCGGTGGAAGGGCCATAATAACTTGCAGCTGAAGTCAAGACCGCGCTACCGAGTGTGTGCGCTCTGTATAGCGATCGGTATCTGTGCTAAAATAAGTACAATACTCTGCTAGGTTCTTGTTCAGGTAACACAGTTATATTGTAATATATATAGATCTATCTATCTATATATCTATCTATCTATATATATATCTATATATATATATATATATATTAGGGCTGGGCGATATATCGCACGATATTGTTATGCGCGTCTCTTCAGTAAAGCCGGTTCTTTGATTAGTAGTAAATCGCCTTCACCTGCTTTCAGATGGAAGATATGATGCAGATATGAGTGTTAAAGTTAATGAGATAATTAAGTGATTAATTTAGTGATCATTGAGCATTATTGAAGACACCTGATGTTAACAAGCAGAATCACTGAAGGAGAAAATCTAAACTTGTAAGCCACCGTTATGGCGATCAGTGTTTGCTTTAGTTGGGCTCTTGATCCTTATACTTTAAGTTTAAATTTTGTTTGTCTGCTGTTATTGATTTATTACAGTCAAATGAGTTTTTGTTCATTTGACTGTAATAAATCAATAACAGCAGACAAACAAAATTTAAACTTAAAGTATAAGGATCAAAAGCCCAACTAAAGCAAACACCGATCGCTAAAGCAAAGTGTGATCTGATAGTGTTGGTTATGTTTTGACATAATCATGCTGTGATCTGAAAAATGAAACTCATTCAGATGATCTTGTTTAATTTGATAGCAACAGTTTAGTGGTCCTACAGCATATGATAATTGTATGTTTCTTAAAATCCAAACCATTTAATAAAAATTGTTCTGATCAAATCACTTTCAAATGCATTTATTTAGAAACGCAGACATCAATAATCAGCCTGTAAATCTCAACCGTGGTGACAATAATAATCCTTGTTGCCACCAATCACAACTCATTAATGGCTCCCATCATGCATTGCGGTATGAATAAATTATGATCTGAATTGTCTATGTAATTTACTTTTCCTAATTGAATATTCTGTTCATCACCATTGTTGAGATGCATTGACTGAAACTTGATATCTGTGTGTGCCTAAAACAAAGATTTTTTTTTTTTTACAACTTTTAAGAAATCTTTTATATTATATCACAAATTCTGGATATATATGCAGAATCTCAGTTATGCTGTAACCAACAGCACAAATCACAAACAATTAGCTCAAATGATGAATGCCATAATATAATCAATACCATTAGATCATTGTTTTTCTTTGTTCATCTGACAGGTATAACTCGGATACAACAGCTGAACAAAATCTAAAGTTAATAATATAAGGGTCAAGACCCCAACTAAAGCAAACACTCATCTCCATGATGGTGACCTGAAATTCCGGTTTTCTTCTTCAGTGATTCTGCTTTAGGTGTCTTCAATAATGCTCAATCATCACTCAATTAATCACTTAAATATCTCATTAACTTTAACACTCTTGAGTGTGGACTCATATACACTCCCAGGAGTGTTCATTTAACACTGGAGTTTTTGCTGTGTAAAGAGCCGTAGTTAACTGACAAGCTGAGCCATATCGCATTAAATATCGCTGGCGATACGTCCGCGATATTAGTGCGATTTGGCTCAGCTTGTCAGTTAACTACGGCTCTTTGTAGTAAATGCCGCTCCATCTGAAAGCAGGTGAAGGCGATTTACTACTAATCAAGGAACCGGCTTTACTGACGAGATGCGCATAACAATATCGTGCGATATATCGCCCAGCCCTAATATATATATATATATATATAGGGCTGCACGATTAATCGCACGATATGTTATGCGCATCTCTTCAGTAAAGCCGGTTCCTTGATTAGTAGTAAATCGCCTTCACCTGCTTTCAGATGGAAGATATGATGCAGATCTATGAGTGTTAAATTAACACGCAAGTGTGTTAAAGTTAATGAGATAATTAAGTGATTAATTTAGTGATGATTGAGCATTATTGAAGACACCTGATGGTAACAAGCAGAATCACTGAAGAAGAAAATCACAATTTGTAAGCCACCATTATGGCGATCAGTGTTTGCTTTAGTTGGACTCTTGACCCTTATACTTTCTTCTTTAAATTTGTTTGTCTGCTGTTATTGGTTTATAACAGTCAAATGAACAAATAAAAGTGTGATCTGATAGTGTTGGTTATGTTTTGGCAAAATCATGCTGTGATCTGAAAAATGAAACGTATTGAGAATGTTTGGTTTAAATCATTAGCAACAGCTTTGTGATTCTACAGCATATTATTATCAGTATTTTTCTTATAATCCAAAATATTTAATAATCATTGTTCTGATCAGTACACTTCCATAGGAATTTATTTAGAAACACAGATATCAATAGTCAGTCTGTAAATCTCAAGAATGGTGACAATAATAATGCATGTTGCAGTGGCTGCCACCAATCACAACTCATTATTGGCTCCCATCATGCATTGCGGTATGAATAAATTATGATCTGAATTGTCTATGTAATTTACTTTTCCTAATTGAATATTCTGCTCGTCACCATTGTTGAGATGCATTGACTGAATCTTGATCTCTGTGTGTGCCTAATAGAAAGATTTTTTTTTTTTAAAACAATTTTAAAGAAATCCTTTATTATATTCATATATAAAATTCTGGATACTTATGCAGAATCACAGTTATGCTGTAACCAACAATATAAATCACAAACATAAAGATCAAATGATGATTGTCATAATATAACCAACACCATTAGATCACTTTTTTTCTTTGTTCATCTGGCAGTCATAACTCAGAAACAACAGCCAACAATATCTAAAGTTATTAATCTAAGGGTCAAGAGCCCAACTAAAGCAAACAATGATCGCCATAACGGTGGCTTACAATTTTAGATTTTCTCCTTCTTCAGATGCTCAATCATCACTCAATTAATCACTAAATTTCCTCAATATTTAACAATATTGAGTGAGGACTCATATACACTCCCAGGAGTGTTCATTTAACAATGGAGTTTTTGCTGTGTACGAAGAGCCGTAGTTAACTGACAAGCTGAGCCATATCGCATTAAATATCGCTGGCGATACGTCCGCGATATTAATGCGATATGGCTCAGCTTGTCAGTTAACTACGGCTCTTTGTAGTAAATGCCAACCCGATCTCACGACCAATTCGTCCGAATTTGACGAGTGATTAAAAGATGGCTAATTCGTAACAATTCGTACGACCTCACTCGTACGAATTAGTACGATTTTTGCTAAAAAGTACATATTTGACGAGTTGCCCAATTCGTATGAATTCGTACGAATGACCTGCCCCTGACCCCGCCCCTAAACCTACCCATCACGTGGGTTTAGACAAATCGTACAAATTCGTACGAATGAGGTCGTACGAATTGTTACGAATTAGCCATCTTTTAATCACTCGTCAAATTCGGACTAATTGGTCGTGAGATAGCGTTGTAAATGCCGCTCCATCTGAAAGCAGGTGAAGGTGATTTACTACTAATCAAGGAACCGGCTTTACTGATGAGATGCGCATAATATATCGCCCAGCCCTATCTGCAGTTGATTTCATCTAAAGCTGTGGCTGAAGTCAGTTGGAGTTCTTGTGTTTCTCTTTTCTTCAGTGATTCTGCTTATTATCATCAGATGTCTTCAATAATCAAACAATCATCACTCAATTAATCACTTAATTATCTCATTAACTCTAACACTGTTTCAGTGTTACTTTAACACAATGCTGTTTTTTTCCCATATGAACACAGAGCGGTGTTAATTCAACACCGGGGATTTTACTGTGTAAATGCTTGAAAATCAAATAAAACCTCTAATTACAAAATTCTGTAAATTGAGTAACACTTTGTGAGATGAGAATGAAATAGGTTTTTAAAACACTTACAGTTATCATTTTGACCTGTGTCGAGATGCTCTGGGCTTTTTCATTCTGTAGATAAAAAAGAAGTGTTGAGAGATGACAGTACAACTGCTTGATATCCCATAATGATCTGAATCATTCTGGACACATACCACATTTGTGATGGAGGTCACATATATGTCCACAAAAATGGTGGCAGGGTCGAAGTACTTGACATCTAAGGGGTCGTCATGGAACGTCAAGGGCCACATTCTAGTATTCTGAGAGTAATTCTCGTTCAGGCTGAGACGATCAAAAAGTCTTTTTTTAGCTTTAGCTGTTTCTGTATCATTGCAGTTTTCAGCATCAGACTCCTGCCCTGTGCATATGAGACATTCAGTAACACATCTGAATATATTCTCAAAGCACACAGTGAAAAAGAATTTCATGTTTAAACATTTACTTTCTACATTTCACATTCCATGTCTCTTCAATAAAAACATATTGCAAGAATACCCCACAGATACTTTTTTAAAGCATGATAAAATCGTCCCTTTTTGAGGGTCAGTAAAAACGCGTTGTTTCGTTATGTTGCTGATGTGGAGTTCACTATCTTCAATTAGCATATTCTGTCATGATAATCTATAAATAGCTTGTGTGGGAACTGTTATGCCTACAGAGTGACATGCTCTTGCATTTGTGTTACATACTGTATTGAATGTGAAAAGACGAATGGAACAGCTTGAGCAGACTCACAAATGTGCTCTACTACAACAACTCCTCTTCTCAGCATGGACTGCATGTTCCCGGGGATGGGGTTTATGTAAATTTAAGGGTTAGTAATGTCACTAACCCGGGAGGAATGTCGTGTAGTCCCTACCAGCCATTTGTTGCAGTCCTCAAAAAACGATTTCTTTAAAAGCAAATATCTTCCTTTGCTTTGAACTTTGACCGCTGTAACTTTGCAGATGATGTTTATGCTCAAACAGCAACAGTACACACTAACTAAAGTTAGAAAAGTGAAATCATAATCAACCACCCTTTGAGAATTGCGACTGCAAGTGATGCGTTGGTGCATTCTAGGAGATAGAATGGAGTCACAAAGTTTTCTTTACCGCATCTGTGACATTTAAAGGGGTCATATAATGGTACATGCACTTTTACAAGTTGATTGTACTGAAATGTGTGTTGGCAGTGTCTGTACACAACCATCATATAATGATAAAAATCCATCCAGTGGTTTTGTTTTAATCTCCTTATATGTTTTCCCCTGCCACAAATCGAGCCGTTCGAGCCTGTGACGTCACAAGCTCGCACGCCCCTCCCACGATTGTTGATTGACAGGAGCGTTTCAACACAGACCCGCCCTCGCTCGTGAGCCAGCTGTCAATCATAGTCTGCGCGGACCGGCGCGGTCATTGTTGATATGCTGGAGCACTGTCTATGAGCAGAATGGCGTCTAAGCGATTGTGGTGTTCTGTTCTTGGGTGTAATAACGAACACAGTCATTTTAATGTTCCTAAATCCGAACCGCCGAAGACGCAGTGGCTGAGTTTGTTTTCGAAGGGAATATTCCCCACGAGCAACGTCAATGCTCTCATGTTTGCGCGAATCATTTCACACACCAGACTGCTTTATAAACGAGGATCAGTATAAAGCTGGTTTTGCTAAGAAGCTGCTCATGAAAAAAGGATCGGTACCAGATATTCGTGTTCCTGCTGAATCTCCAGAAGAACAGAAGTGAGTGTCACGTTTTATTAAACTTTATATTAATATATTAATCTTTGCAAATTGCTAGCTGCACGCTTCACAATGAATGCGTCTAAGGTTTACACTCAGGGTACATTACGGCATGTTTTCTATGACGTTCTCAATATAATTCATAATCCCACGTTCATACTGAACAACGCGTTTTGGTTATTGTGTTATTGAGTTACAAACGGTGTACGCACAGAACAGAGAGGCGGGGTGAGCAAAGCTCATTATCATTTAAAGGCATATGCACTGAAACGGCGTGCTGAAAACAGAGCTGTTTTTGACCAGGTAAAATAAGTGTTTTCTTACAATACTAATGAGAATTTTTAATTAAAGTATATTACAAACTTTTAATTTAGACCCTAAAGAATCATATTAGCTTGTACAAAAATGGCATTAAATGACCCCTTTAAGATTTAAAGGTGCAGTATGTAGCATTGAAATAGGCACTGCAGTCCAAATTCTAAATATTGGAGAGAGTTGTTTGCTCAACACTCACATTGGTTGTCAGATCGAGGACATGCAACAGGAGCGAGCGCAATTGACAATGAAAGCCGAGGAGCCGTAAGTTGATGAGTTGATTTTTTGATTTATGAGTTGATATCGCGTTTTAATATGCTCCCGTTCATAATGATTTTTAGAAGGGTGCTGAGGCCTTTTAGGTCGGGTAGAATCTGTGATCTCTGACCCAGTTAGTTCACTGACTTCCATATTTGCAATACACTGTGTTTTCCGCTAACTGGCAACCTGTGGTGGCAAAATACTTGTAAATTGGCAACGGTCGGAATTCGCAAAGACCAAAACAAAGACAGATATTCCGACACGGGACACATTTCAAAGTAATATAACTGGCTGTAGTGTTGTTTATCAGATAAATGATTGTGTGAACTCAGCATGTTTCCTAAATATCTGCAAACATATTATGGTATTTTTATGCTTTAGTACAGTCAAAAACGTACATACAGCACCTTTAAGAGTATATTGTGTTTCTTTATTTTATTTGTTTGATTTATTAACAAATCAAGGTTAAAGGGATATTTTTTTTCATGAAGAAACGGCTTTACAAAAGGCTAATGAACAGGAAAATAATGATCAAGGATCCAAACAAATATAAGACGTATTCTGATATAAAGCTGATCTACAGAAGACATTAAAGTGATTTTTTTCAGTCACTTCAGTGTGGATTCAATACAGTTCAATAACATGTTAAGACAGGCAGACATTCCCCACACGCATGTCACATGCACATCTATGCACATTGTTAGTTTAGACGTTATGACAGGCAGACGTTCTCCACATGTATGTTAACAGATCATTAAGCTAGGTTAGGAAAGCAGGAACAAGAAGAGACATAATTTTAAGCCAAATGCGTGGCATGTTTGCCACACATACTTCACAACTGGTCAAACCAAGGTTGTTCTCATTGAATATAAATCAGCAGCTTCGAGAGTAGCTTTTGAAAGGGAACATCGATCACCATTATGGTGACTTCAAACAAAGCTTACATCTAATCAAACATCAAAATTAATTAATGTTAAACCTCTGTTAATTCTTAATAAAAGTTTTTGTACACATATGACAGTAATAGTAATACTCGGTCTGGTTAGTAATAAGTGAAGCTGGTAATGCTGTTTGTGGAGTTGTTTAATCCTCCTCTGCTGAGATCTTCACAGATTTAAAGTATTTTATTTGCAGCTGATTTCATGCTGCGTGGTGTTTTAGTTGTAGTTGTACACAGTTGTAGTTGTGTTTCATTTTCTGAGAGTGCAAGCATGATGCTGAACCAACATCACAATGTTACATTGATTTAATAGCCATTTTTTAAATGAAAGTTCAACACTATTTCAGCATTAATTGCAGGTATAACAGTGATGTTGATTCAATGCAGTTAACGTTGATCCATTAACATTGTTACAATGGTTTCTAATACATTTTTTACATTTAAAATTGTAAAAACAGCATTGATTATATATTATTAAGATATATTACTAAGATATTATTAACAGACATTAATGAACAATCTCCATTAATTAATATTATCTAGATATGTGTTTCCCAACCCTGTTCATGGAGGCACACCAACACTACACCTTGTTGGACTCTTCTTAATCAAACATACCCGATTCAACTCATCAGCTCAGACCAGAAATATATGGGTCAGATAAGGGAGACATCCAAAATGCGTAGTGTTGGTGTGCCTCCATGAGCAGCGTTGGGAAACACTGATCTAGATTAACAAGTGTTGTAAAAAAAAAAAAATCATTTGTGATGCCTATTGCATTATCTGCTGTTGACAAATTGAACCTTATAGTAAAGTGTTATCATTAAGCAATATTTACTTACCCGTTAAGACAAGAAAAACTATTAGCCAGTGCAGGTGCATGTTCAATAGTGGAAAAATTCCAAGTGTCTGAGATACTTCTCCTGTATAGGATGAGGATTCACTCTTGAACAGTCAATCATATGTTCATATTTATACACTGCGAGTGAGCAACACATTCTCACACCCAATCATAGGCGGAGCCAGGATATTTTCATTTTTGCTTTTTGCCTCTCATGCCATTCACATTTTCTTTAAAACGTTTGGTTTGACTTTATTTTGATGGACCCTTTCACACATTCTGTTAACTTAAAGTAATGTTGCACCTTCATGTCTACTAATTCTCATTAGAGTGTTAGCACCATGAATAACAAAAATGTAAAAGCAGATGAAAGTAGTAATAATAATAAGGTAAATAAAATACGAAGAGAACAAATAGGCATTTGGCTACACCACAGAAGTTTTTCCACCATATTATCATATATCACTCCCACCATGCATTATAATAATAATACTATACTAATTTGTTACATTATATAGCGCTTTTCTGGGTACTCAGAGCGCTTTACATGGAAGGGGGAATCTCCTCAGGTATGCATTGCTGATTGAAGCAAGTCACCATTGTTGAGATGCAAATGCTGAATCTTGATGCGTCTGTGTGTTGTTGATATTGTTCAGTCAACACATCAGACTCATTCATTTCTCTAATACTCACTTCTATAGTGCCCATGCCCACCCTTTGGGTATTGTGCCTACCAAGTTACAAATGCCTACAAAAACGTTTACATGTATGATCAGCCATACTGTGAAAATAACTCATGTTTCAGTAAGTCTGATGTTACAGTATGGTTAAACGTTTGAAAAAATATGTTGACTTTTTTGGTTATTAGTTTGGATATTAGTAACAGTTTTGAAAATTTGCATTGTAAAAATTTACCAAAATGATGAACTAATGAGAGTGAAAAAAAGCTGCAAATGGTAGACACTTGAATTCGAAAAAGTTTAATTCCCCTTGTTAATTCAAACACTACAGTTGTGTGTGTATCATGATTTTTATGACACATACTTGAGGCACTGCCCACTGCAACCAGTGGATTAACTGGAAATATGGGGATAAGTACTCAAATGCCTTATGATGGCTATTTGTCTGTCAAATTTGAGTTTCCCAAAGCCATTGCTGGTGTGGCTCAGGTTGTAGAGATGCTCGTTCTCGTGTGTTCAGATTCTGTGTGAGACAAAAAGAAAGAAAAAAGCTGGAGAGCATTTCTTGCACATTTTGACCAAAGTGGTAAGAGAAGAGCGCCTAGGCCCTAGGGAAAACGTGATCAGATGCTAAAGACTCTGAGAATGAAGAGGAGCCAATTAAACACGCTGACCCAATTGGACCTCCAGGTACCTATCATCAAAACTGATGAAGACAGACGGGAGGATGAATCAACACAAAGCATGTGAAGGCACCAAGTTCATCAAACAATAAGCGGCGTGGAGGATTTCCTGTCTTACTTCCTGCCTTCCTATGCATCCCATGATACACCCCACTCTGAAGCGGTTGAATGACTTCAAAACTAGATCAATGTTTGACTTTCAGTGGAAACAAGGTATGGATATTTACAGACCGCAAGACTGTAGAAACTGGAAAAACTGGAAGAGAGGGTGACTCTCTGAGAAAACAAAGGAAATTAACATTTGAACTCTCTCGCAAAAATAGCATTCCCATCCGAGACACAATCAGTTGATCACCCAAGTATTGTCTAAATTTACATCTCATTTCCCATCTCTCCTCTGCACATGTTGAAATGTCCTGAAAAAACTCTATATGGTTTAATGTGAACAATCATCAATACATTTATGCAAGTGCTTTTATCCAAAGTGACTTACATTGCATTTCAGGGAACACATTTAAATTCTTATCAGTTCTTGCTTTCACTGGGAATCGAACCCATGACCTTGGCGTTGCAAGCGCCAACACTCAGCTGTTTGAGCTACACTCAGGAAAGCTAATATTCATAAATCACTATACTTGTTTGGTATCATTTGAAATGTCTCAATGCGACTGGTACAAATGTCAAATGTAATAAAGGTTTTTAGAGTTTAGAGATACTTTGCTCACTGTGGTGGGAGTGCCCTTGTCCCCAAAAAGCTTAAACTGCCCAAGTCTGGGACCTTGATTAATGCAAATTTCCAATGATAACACTTGTTTTCCATTTGAAAAAAAAAATGTAAAGAGATATGTTGCAGGAGGCTCAGTGCACAGTTCTTTAGTCAGAAAACTCAGATAAGGATTTATTGAGTCCACATGTCATGCAAACAAGAAACTCTGCTTCTACCCACAGGACGAAAGCCGTCGTTCTAACCACACAACTTTGAGATGATGTTTGCGCATGTTCATTAGAACTATGGTTTTGGGAAACACAGACTGGATCAGTGGTTCTCAACCCTGTCCTGGCGTACCCCCAACACTACACGTTTTCCTTGTCTCCCTAATCAAACACACCTGATTCAACTCATCAGCTCATTAACCCATGTGATAATGAGCTGATGAGTTGAATCAGGTGTGTTTGATTAGGGAGACAAGGAAAACGTGTAGTGTTGGGGGTACGCCAGGACAGGGTTGAGAACCACTGGACTGGATGAACTACCCAGCTAACAAAAATTTGTACTTAGAATTTTTTACGAACATTCCCGTTAAGTTATGAAAACGATTTTCAGATATTTCTGAATGTTTTTTAAATGTTGAAAACGTCAAGTTTAAAAATATATATATATATTAATGTAGTAGCCTCCTCAGACCTGGTTGTCCACATACGTGGACATCACAAAGTCCAGGGGTCAGAAAGTAAAAGTCCTGCCATATTTTTATTCCACCCACAGCAACAACTCCAGTGTTAAATGAACTTTACTGGGAGTTTATTTGGATCCAGACTCAAGAGTGTTAAAGTTAATGAGATAATTAAGTGAATAATTGAGTGATGATTGAGATATTATTGAAGACACCAGATGTTAACTAGCAGAATCACTGAAGGAGAAAATCTATATTTTAGTCACCGTTATGGTGATCAGTGTTTGCTTTAGTTGGGCAGGTGACCTTTAAATGTTTAACTAAATATTTTGTTTGGCTGTTTTAACAGCTGGATGAACAAAGAGATCAGATCAGATGTTGTAGATCATGTTTAGACATAATCATCATTTGACCTGAATCACTGAACTCATTTAAAGCCTACTCTCTGACTTAAATGTATGATGATCATAACAGCATCACAGTGATTCTATAACATTATATCCAGATTTTTCAAAATAAACCAAATGATATCTTACACGTTGTTTTGATAAATAAATAATAATCTTTGTTTTAGGCACACACATACATCAAGATTCAGTGTATGAATCTCAACAATGGTGACAAACAGAATAGGACAGGACAGGGTTGAGAACCACTGGTTTATGTGAACGCTAGGAACATTCCATTCTATCATTTTGAAAATGTTAGGAAATTTTTTTTTCTGAGTGTTCAAAACAACCTGAACAGGGCTCACACACAGACACTCGAGTATCGCTAATTTACCTCTGCTGCATGCCTTTGACAAAGACACACTGAAACGCAGTGATCCTGCTCACTCCGGGGACTCAAGCTAGGGACCTTCTTGCTGTGAGGTGACCGTGCTACCCACTGAGCCACTGTGCTGCACTCTTTTTATATGTATATGAATTAATTCTTACGGCCACAGGTATGGATTTCTAAGTAACCATTTTTAAGTACAAAAAACTGTATTAAGACACATTTTTCCAGAGTACTAAGTAAGCGCATTAAATATTAGAATACACAAATAACGTTGAGAGAAAACGTTCTTATAACAACGTTCTTGGAACGTCCTTGTGAAGTTATTTGGTACTTGACTGATGTTCTCATAATGTTGAGTAAAAACGTTCTTAATACATTAAAAAAATTGATGTTTTTAACTTTTAGAAATCCTTCAGAAATACCGTTCTCATAGCTGAATGTGAATGTTAGCAAAACATTCTAAGAACATATTTTTAGCTGAAATGTCAGTGTATTATTTCTGCTTGCCTGTATATTTTATATGCAACTTGCATTTATTGGTCGTTCCTTACCGTGTCTTGTGACTTCATGTGCTCTTCAATTCTCTTTAATGATCAAACAAGCAGTAATAATGTTTAAATAATGTTAGATGAATGTCCAACTAAACCATTCTAAAAAACATTTAGCAAATATAAATTACATCACAAAGACATTCCGAGAATGTTGTTCTAAGAACGTTTTCTCTCAATATTATGAGAATGTTCATCAAGTAAAAATAACAGTGTAAGGACATTCATTGTTCTTGCAACGTTTTCTCTCTACACAGCAAAAACTCCAGTGTCAAATGAACTCTCCTGGGAGTATGTTTGACTCCACACTCAAGAGCAGGGGTGTCCAAACTCGGTCCTGGAGGACCACTGTCCTGCAGAGTGTAGCTCCAACTCTGATAAACTATACTGTCTGTAGCTTTCTAATCCTGAAGACATTGATTAGCTGGTTCAGGTTTGTTTGATTAGGGTCCCAGATAGATAGCAACCATTGTTGTGGTTTCTCTCTTTTGTGAAATCACTTCTCAGAGATCTTTGATGCCAGAAATATTAGACTTTATTTTACAACAAAGCCGAGCATCTTCTGCAGAAGATTACTCCAAAGCTTTGCTCAGCTCACATATACAATACATCATTTTCCAAGAATGGTAACACCCTATAGATATTTTTGGGTAAAGGTCTTGTACCATGTGACTTTTCAGAATAGAATTTTCTGCTGCATGAAACGTTCCAGGCCTTTCTTCAGGCTTACAAAAGTCAAACCAAAGTCACACCCAGCAGAAATAATACTGTACACATCACATTTATAGCAAAATTACTTATTTTCTAAATAATAAAACATTCATTCCCTCCTCTTAAATAAGCCCCACTTTCACTATCCTTTTCCAGAGTGTAGTTTCGAAATCCAGCCCCCTCAGTTATGCTAGTGATTAAATTGAGTCACCCAGCCCCCTTTCTAATTATTAGATTATGCCACCACACTCCAGACCCACATAGCAACATT